ATGAGCATAAGTTATTAGAAAAGTTACTAGAATTTGCATTTCTTAGGACCAGTTTTAACAATTCTCTCACATAAACTTTTATTTGCAAGTCATTTCAACCAAAACGAGACTTCAAACATTCTATGGCCTTGAGATAATTAGCAGCTGTGAAGGGGAAACTTTCTATAAGCGAACCCTCAACAGTCGCTTGTAATAAATATTGAAATTTACCACTATCAGAAATCATGGTATTGTCTATTTTTTTCCTAACTGACTCAAAAAAAATAACCATTTCTTAATTTCACCATCAAATTTCCATAATTCAAGCTTTGGAAGTTTACATGCATTCTCATCAGCAGATTCATTCAAAATTAAACTTGAAGTACTTACGTTTTGTAGATTCTGAAGAATATCTTTCACTTTAGTTTCGATTCTGACGGCCTTGTCATGATAATCTTCAATAGTATCAAATTCTGCTTCAATTTCGTTTTCGGACAGTGTGCTAAGAAAACGTACTTGCGTATCTTCCAAGCGTTGAGCTTTCGAGACAAAAACATTAAGCTCTTTGATTCAGAAGAATCTGTCTCCCTTTTTTTAAAACTTTTTTCTATAACGTTGAAAGATTTTGTAAAAGCAGCTCTATGAATCTTCCTTTCAAGTTTAATAGCTTCTTTATGTTCCATTTTATACTTTATAATTCCAAACTAATGTCTCTTAAGCTTCATTCAGACGGGGGCGTAAAGGGCATAAGTGGTTAAAGCTGAGCTCCGTTGCCAAGGGAAGCAGTCTGTGCAACGTCACAAAATCTGGTTTAGGGCTCGTGGCATAGGGTTCAAAGTTTTCAACTTTACGCCGAGTTTGGGATAAGCGTCGACCAATCAGAGCGTAGCTAAAACGAAGCAGCGTTCTACAGAAGATTTCGCTGTCAGAAAACAAACAGAGCGAACGCGGGAAATCAATCGAGCAGAAGAACAGCGCGGGAAAGTTGTAGACAAATGCACGCATGCGCAAATTTAGCTTCTCTCATTGGCCACGGCTTAGACATCGTTCTCGCAAGTGTGAACGGAATTCCCGTATTTTATGCCCTTATGACTACGCCTCTATGCCTTTTACGCCGCCGTCTGAACACAGCCTTATGTCCCGCCAAGGATACTAATAAAATGTTCGCTTATGCCTCAAAATAAACTATTACGCTACCAGCGTATCACGGACTCTGAGAGACTATTAAAAATATAGTTAAAATTCTATAATCGGGGTGAGCGCCAAGCTTGGCGAGAGTTTTTTATTTGGCGCGATTTTAATCTGGTTGTGGTTTCCGGCTGTATGTTTTCTTGTGGCAAACCTAGAGCTTTATTTCGGTAACTTTAAGAGCGCAAATTTAGTGTAGCCAGATTTTTTAATTTAATTTTGAAATATTGTTTGTTTTTAAAAGTTTTACTGTTTAATATTATTGTTATATATATGTTTAATATTATATTTATATAAATAATTGCAGAAGGTTAAGCTGTTGTTGGTGGGAGAATGTTGGATTTCATATGACATGAAGTCCATTATTTAGGAATGTTTTCATTTAATTTTATTTAGTTATTTTTTTAATTTTGTTTCTTGCATGTGGCAATCGAAAGATGTGAAATATTTAAAGCTTTGAACGAAAGTTGTTTAGTGTGACAGGAGCCTCCGTCGCTAGTGATCTCTGAGTTCTAGCACAGCATATGTACAAATACTTCCATATTATTGGATACAACTTACTTGATTCTTCAAGCATTTAAAAGTCAAATGTCATTTATATCATATCGTATCATACGGTAAAGGCCGTAATGGTCGATTGCCTCTTACTAAGTGATAAGACAAGACATAGTTGTTTAGTGTGCTGAATTCCACGACGATAGTAACTTGAATATTTTAGTTAGTTTATGATGCTGAATACGCATAATTTGCTATTCTGTTTACGTTTAAAACTGACTTCGCAGTGCTCTGATCTGATAAGTGTATACATTTATTTACTCAATAGTTATTTACAAGAGTAAAATTTAAATGAAGCACGTATAAAATAACAACTACATTGATTTGAAATCCAACAGATATTCCAACGGCTATAAGAGATGTGATAGATAACCACTGGAATTGGTAGGACTGTTAAATTACCTGCGAGATTTCAACAGAACTGAATGGGAACTCTATTTTATTTGAGTTCTAATCGTTAATATTATTCTTGCATAACTTCGCATATTTTACTGGTATGTCCAAAAAAAAAAGGTTGTAGTTTGTATTAATTTATACTGCTGTTAAAAAAGAGTTTTGATTATACCATTTTATCAAAAGGTGGGCGTGATGTCGCGTCTGTGCCTGAGCTTTTTTTTTTTTTCACGTACCGGACGCTACAATATAAGTTTCTCTTGCACGTATTCGCAACATCATCTTTGTTGTGTTCCATTAAAAGGTCATCCATGAGAGATGACGGTCTGTAAGCTTAAATAAAATAATTGAATCAAAAGATAGAGTCATTTATCTAAATATAAATTTACACACAACAATGCGAGTTCCAGTTTAAGCATATTTATTTTATATTGTACTTTATTATGTAATTGATAGAAAAATCAAGCTAAGAAATTCTTTGTGCATGAGTATGTCAGCTGTTGGTGAAAACATGTCTTTGCGCAGCTAATCGGACTCCTATCATTTTCCACTGCCGATTGGCTAATCGTCCGATTTCGGACCCGTAGACACTTCAAACATTGTTTGTTCTAAAAAGAGGAATCACCTCATTATTGATCCTGCATGGACCTTATAAGAGATAGACTAACCCAGTGGGCGGGGCGCGCGTCACCGACATGTCGGCAAGAAAGAGTAGGGACGATCTGGTTTACTTTAAACACTGACACCTATGGCGTTTGTATCACATAACTGTTTTTAATTTTTAATGTGATACGTTGTATAGTGATGAGATTATAAAAGCCACAGTTTTTCTCAAATAGGATTTAATATATCTCATTAAAGCACTTTTTAGTGCATTTTGCCCATTTTTTTACGCGTAATTCTTGTACAAACATCTTTACTTTGGTACTACGGTAAAAACTCTAAGCACAAAATTTATGAACTTAATTTTGCGTAAACATAAAGTAAAATTAAACAAGATTGATAGCACGCGTTGCTTTGAAATAAATAAGGTAAAATTAAACCAGATCTGATAATTTTTTTTAATTTAATGAAAATTTTTAGGCAGTGATTTTCCAAACTATAATAACATTACAAAACGATCATATTTATTTGATTATATAATCCTTAAATTATTAACATTAAAGTGGATTAGTTATTTTAATTCTAAAATTCGAGCATAATTTCTGAGCGTAATGAAGGGAAAAAAAAAGATGAAATAAAATCTGAAGCACTCTTTTTTTAAAGTTTTGTGTGTTACCTATATTTATTGAATATCATGTTCTTCGCCCGTAAACCACATACATTTGAAAACAGCATATCTTTTAGAATTTCCGCACTGGAGATAAAACTGCTTATTTTCCGTACAGTGCTTCCTCTGAACTCGTTGAGTTTTTTTAATCAAAAATTCGTTAAAGTTTTTACAAAATATGAAATGGATTAAAACAAATTCGAAATTCGGCCCGGCCGGCCGTCCAGATGCCCATGTTTGGGATGGAGGGATTACATTATTCAAAATTTGGATGGCTCTAGATACTGTCGTTTTTGTCACAGTGCGAGAAACATACATATATTCATGCAGATTCTTCATTATTTAATTTCTTTTTACATATATAATACAGGGCGATAATATTTGGTAACAACAATTTGCAAGGAGACACGGACATTTATAGTAAAACAGCGCAAAATGCCGCTTCGAAACTAACAGCCTCTCTAGGCTACCGCCCCCTTTAGGCTAATAAATTAAATTAACAGTAAATAAAAAATATCTTATGCAGAACTAAAAATAAATTTTAAAAAATAATCACTATAAAATACAAGCAAAATTAATTATAACGGTTAAATACAATTTTAATATTAGAATTTTAGATGTATAAACATTTTTAAGGAGTCAAAAGTTTTTATCACTATGGTGTATTCTGAAATATAATTGAAATAAAATTCCTTTATAGAATTGTGCTATAATACTCATCTATAACTTTAAAAAAGCAGCACAATTTAGAATTTTGAAACAAACTTTCAAAAATTCGTTTTTAAAATATTTTAGCATTTTTTTTACTTATTTACAAGCAATAAAAGCATAAAAAGTTGCAAGAGAAAACTTGCTTTGTTTTGAAATTTTCTATTAGTTCAGATTTAAAATATTATTTTCTAAAAGAAGTAGTTACAAATTTTCCACACAGCATAGGAAAAGCTAAAAAAATATCCAGTCCTGAAAGCATGCAATAGCTTAATAATTATTTGGAACGTTAATTATGCTTGATAAATATGCTAAATTTTTAAAAATCATTCTCAATTTCAAAAATAAAACTATGTAGAAATTCTAATTTGTGAAATGAGGCGCTACAACCAGCTCTTTCTTGACAATTTTAATTATGCATTAAATTTCTGCAAGTCGTTCCTACTCCTCCGGATGTGATCAAGGTGACAGCCGGCAACGCCTCAGACGAGGGAGAAAACCCGTTTTGGTTATTCTTACCTTATAAGGTCCATATTACCTTATAAGGTCCATGTGATCCTTTTTTTTTTATAGGAATTTATAACAGAACAAAAAGTTACTGAAAATGAAGAAGCACCAGATTAATCAATAAATTATAACTACGAAAATTTTTAAATTTAGTTAATCCCCGCTTTTTTCCCCATGGATTTAGACAGTATGTTTTCGTAAATTACTGAAAGATTTATAACTGAATAAGAGTAAAGCAATAAAAGGAAATTAAATAAAACATATTAAGCTTTGTTCAAGTTCTGCAAAGATATGCAAAGGAAACGCACTTTAATAATTCTTAAGATAAGACAATAAGCGACATTGCAGAGTTTCACAGCTGAGTTTGCGCAGTGCGTTAGTGAAATTTTGGGCAGAATGTTTTCAGCCAAAAGTTCTGAGTACAATGATTGTTAACTTAACTTAACTTACTTCCGTTAAATATCCGCCTACGGAAAGAATTTTGAATGGAATTTATTATTGAATTTTATGCAGTCAATACCTCATAATTCAAATATCTGCCGCTCCGCAAAATTATAAACTCCATGTCTGCACTGCCATTCTGAAATTTAGCATTTTTATTTCGATCCGATTTCGGGAGCATAGACACAGCCATATAAACATGTGATGCAACAAGGAGGTTAGAATACCTTGTGATGCAACGGAGAGGTTGTTTTGTGGTTCACCTTTGATCCGTAAGTGCATTGTCAAAAAATAAAAAGCACGAATAACTGCAGAACTGGTTGCTTCGAACCTGATTACATTGTGCATACGTTTAGAAGATTTTTTTTTTTTTTTTTTTGTTAATTTAGATTATTGTCCTCATTCTAAAACCGAAAAAAACATTTTCTGTGCGAAAGCGAGTTTTCAGACATGGCGAGATGGAATCACATTGATAGCTTGGAATCAGTTTTAGAAAAGCATATTCCAGATGATGACTTACGTTACGTAAAGCATGTTTTGTACGGAAAAGAACTCAGGTATTTCCCTAATTTTGTTACTGTAACTGAATAACTTTCTAAAGGTATTGTGGAAATTTGGTATGTGTCCCTACCCTAAATAACCATACTTTGTACAAAATTGTGTACATCTTCGTTCAGGTCAGTTTACATTATTAATGTAAATGCAGGGTTTTAAATGAGGTTGTTTGTGCTTTAACAACACCTTAAAGCACTATGAGACTCGGAATTTGCAATTGTAAACTTGGTGACATTTTCTCACGACTTTTAACTCTCCTGCAAAATACCGTGAAGATGAATTATTCCTAAGGAGGGAAACTACATAAAAGGCTTCGGAAAACATTAATTATTTCTTTTCAGGTGTGATACCGGGTGCGGTTTTTGCATAAACCTGTAGTGGTGTCACTTCAATTGCATTAATATTTATACAGCCGCGCCAGAATGCGAAATGTCAATTCAGGGTATTTTTTGTATACTTGTACAAAATATTAGAGAAAATTTGATAAATGTTAAAATTTTCTTGTAGCATTATTCTGTCAAAATTAAGTTATATGCTATGAAATCAAATCTTCAATCAATAAACAGAATTTTGGCTTTGAATAACAAAACCAAAGGTTGAACTCAAAGAAAGGAAGAAAATATTTATTTGCTCTCTTCAAGTGTACATACCTTCAAAAGCATAAATGGTTACTTAAGACTGTAGCCTTTTTATTTTCTAATAATTATGCTTATTTATTTAAGGAATTTTTCACATGTATTTTGTTTTTATCATATCTTACTATTTTTTTTTTGTTGTTTTTTTGTTATAAGTTGTAAATATGTGCATGGTGTTTTCAAACTCATGTTTTTATTTTCTTTGCACCTGTAATTTGATTTCATTTGAAGCTGAATATAAACTCTATCCGTGTTACATTTTAATGGGAAAGTTTACTTAAGAAGCACTGATGGGAAATATTGCTTATATATTATTATTATTATTATATTAGTATAAATGAAATATCAAAATATAAATACCCATTTATTATCTAACTTTGAAATTTTTTGTACCCATACAAGTTATAAGCTTCAAAATGTATAATTTTTGGCTTTAAAATAAAGCTTAGAATTAAAATGTAGACTTATTCAAATATAACAGTTCAAGTATAAATAAATAATTCACTTTATACCTAAAGGAATTATAATCTGTGAAAGTCTTTTAGATAATTGTTCAGCATCTGGTGCCAAAAATGCACCACTAACAGTAGGCTTGAAGACTGGTGCTGCAGGCATCTTAAAAAAATTAGAAAATTCAGATTTGTAAATAATGACATGCACCTATCCTATTTTAAATTTAGCAGCTGAAAAAGAGGCAGCTTCTTTATTAATAAGTGTGGATGAATACATTGTTGATATTTATTGTCATCTTGAAAATAATTCTGAACTCGAGGAAAAATTAAAATAATTCCAATAGGTGTGTAATACTGAAATAGAAAAATTTTTTTTAAACATGTATACCTCTATCTTTAAAGAAATGCTTATCTGGAATTCTTAGTCACTGGAACCCACTTCTTATATTTTTTAAGGAAGAAATAAATACTTCTGGAGTCAAGATAAAAGGCTCTTTTGAAAGTTATAAAGTATATAAAGAAAATGAAGATGTAGTTACTACTTCCGTTGTTAAAAATAGGTGTGATAAAAATTAATTTTTGCACCTGTGAACAATTTAATTGGCAGTTCTCAAAATAATACTACAAAATATCAGCTAATTTTAATGTGATGACACCCATAAAAACAGTTTTTGATATGCATTTCCAGATGCAATTATTAAAACTTTCATTCAGGTTTTGAATTCTTCCATGAATGCATTTTGACAGTAGCTTTTTGTCTGAGAGACTGCTAAGCACACTTTTAACAGCTAATAAAACAGATTCTGACAAAAAAATGTATGAACATACTTTTTTTTTTTTTTTTACTTTTTATATGGCTTTGTTGTTGTCACACTAGACATTGTTGTTTTTAAACTGGTGGGCATGCTAGTGCTTGTTTGCATTTATTAATGAAAGATTTCTGTGTTTTAAAATTTCAAAACCTGCATAAAGTATATATTTTTGGAATCCTTTAGCAGTAACATGTAAATTTATTTTAATGTTCAGAAAAGTGTCATATATTATGTTTTAAAATATCAAACAATAAGATTGTTATTGATTTTGTATATTGTGTTTATTTTTTAAGATTTTGTCATTATCATATAATTTTTAAGCAAGCAATTGAAATTATTTTCGACTAATCTTTGGATTATGGTAAGTTGGCAATTTCTTGGCGACCAACCCTGCTACAGCAAACTGCTAGTTTTTGTTTTTTGGATGCCATTTTGTTTTCACCAAGTAAAGGCATGTTTTTTTTTTTTTTTTACTCAACATTTTTTCTAACAATCTGCTAGCCAAATTACGCTTGTACTAGAACTTTTATGGAACAAAAATGCTTAATCATGACGAAGATTAGGTGTGAAATTGGGAGAAAGTGCAGAATTACAAACTGCTTGCCGTATTTTTAAGAATTGCACATACACGGTATCATCCATGTACACGTCGACCTATTTCCACTTAAAAAAACATCCCAGAATTGCACAAAAATGGCATTGCGCACACTCTTGACTTTTATCCATGTACACTGCTAAAGTCTTAGCTAGTAACCTTTATCGCCTTACCAAAATGTTGCCAAACTACCTGTTACCATATTCCAAAGATTAGCCTTATTTTCTTATTGGTACTTTTGTGTTATCATTACTATTGTACTACTGTTGTGTTATTGTTACTATTTGTTATTCACTTTTTTTATTTTAGCCCATTAGATTTGCCAGATGAAGCTCTGAAGTTGGCAAATGAAAAAAATGTAGATCTGAAAGGTTTCAAATTTGATGCTGAACCTGAAAGTATCCGTGAACCTCGTATTGTCCGTGTTGGCATAATACAAAATGCTATTGTTGCACCAACAGATGCTTCAATTCCTAAACAGCGTGAAGCTATTCATGAACGCATCAAAGAAATTGTTGAAATTGCAGCACTTTCTAATGTTAACATTATTTGTTTTCAGGAAGCCTGGAGTAAGTTTTTAAGTCATGTATGTTTTTATCTATAATAGGTGTGTATAAATGAATGCAAATATATACACGTACACATTTATACATAAATAGAGAGAGAGACAAATGTAATAATAATGTCTATTGGCAAACTTAAATCTGAATATGCTTTACATGTATAGACTTGCGTGACTAACTGCCTAAAATAGTTATAAAAAAAAAAGAATACGCCGCCTCAGAAGTCCTGACTCCCACAGAAATTCCAAAAATACACTTCGATCCACATAAACACACCCGTGAACAAGAGTCTCGTTAGCAACCCCAACATCGTACCTTTTAATACTAAATTTACCTTGCACACAATCTAAAATGTATGTCTGAAATTTTGCCACCACGTTTTCGCTCACCAACGACCGAGCGGTAAAATCGCTGGGTACTTACGTATTATCGCAACCAGGTTGGTGCGATTTGTAAGTTTGAGTAAAAAAGTATGAATAGAAAGAAAATGTACATTTATTAATTACAGATAATTTTTAATACAGTTTTTTATATTATTTTGTTTTAAAATATAAAATAGCAATTAAACCCTTCCGGTTTTGAATTTGAATAAGTTGCACAATTATTTTTTCGGCGGAAATCTTTGGCTATTGCTTTTAGCACTGATTAAAAACCGTATTCGCCATAACCATGTACACGTCGACTTATTTTTTACTTAAAAAAACATCCAGAATTGCACAAAAATGGCATTGCGCACATTCTTGACTTTATCCATCTACACTGCTATTTTCTCATAAATTACAAAAATTTGCACTAAAATGTAGGAAAATTTTGTGAATCTCCACATGCTCTTTTTACAAAACTACGTATAACACGTAGGGTTGCCGTAAGTAGGGTCACCAAATTTGGCAATTTATGCGAATTTTGGCCTGGTTGCGTTAATACGTAAGTACCCAATCGCTGAACACTGGTATTTCGGTCCGAGGTTCAAATCCTGCGAATGGGCTGGCTGCATGGGCGTTTTTGTGGTTTTCCCCATGTGTAACGTGTATGCGAGCCAGTTTCCCTTAGAAAGTCCTCCACGAAGGCATCCCTCCCCTTAGGCAGATAGCCCTAGTGTGCTTTGCCATAATTAAATACACCACCACCACGTCTTTCATTGCAATGTAAGCCATATCAAAATGCCCAACCAGGTCAACCAACCAGAAAATAAAACCACTCCAGCAAAATCAAGTTTCAATGTCAAAAGTGTTGCCATACAAAAAACATCACACCAAAAACCATCGCAAAACACACAATCGTACCAGAAACCAGCACAGAACACACATCGCCACATTTGGCGATGCCATACATCTGAAGGTGTATGTAAGAGTAGTACCGAAAATATTCAAAATTTTGGCTTCCAAGCATACATATTTGGGTGGTAGCCTATATGAAAAAATGGTGGCCCAAGGTGTCATAATGTTTTTGCAGTATACATATGTATTTATACCGATTTTTCATTATTTAATAATAGAAATGTGTGTGTATATGTATATGTGTGTGTAAGATATAACAAAATATGATAGCTGTTTCAAAAAAATAATTGCCAACCTCAAAATTAACATTCTAAATTTGGTGATCTGACCCTAAATTCATCTCTTCTCACAGGTTTCAGATTTTTCTATCTTACGTAACGTTTCAATGCAGATGCCTCTTGTCCAGCGAGCGAGAACCAGTAACCATATTTCACTACGTTACGGCACTGACCTTGATTCGAAATACTTTTCGATTTTGAACTTGCAAATACTCGATGATTTCAAAGTATTTTCTAATATGCCATTAAATCAAACACCAGAAACAAATTTGATGACTCACTGGAAGTTTGAAGCAGCAGAGTTCGAAAACTATTGGGGAAACTTCCAGCAGGTTAATCCTGTCTTGACTTTTTACAAATATGTAATGATTTTATAAATGTGTAGATAGCTGGGAAAGTGGCAGAGTGGAAAGCATGATGACGCAATTTAGCACAATGTATCTTGAAAAATCACAATCTTTTATTTTTTTTTTACATATGTCAAACCATCCTTTTGCAGATAAGATGTTTTCTAATTATATTTGAATACAGTAAGATGCATTTTTAAGTATGACATCGTCTTCACCAAGTATGCAGCAGCATGGTTGAAAAGCATCTTGCTAGGAGCAGAGCTTGAGCAAAAAAAGGGAGAGTATCATAGAACTTCAGAGGAAGAAGAGTGAGAGTCGGAAAAGTTTCAGTTGAGTTTTGGTTTACAATTAATTTGATTAGACACAGGAATAAAAAGGACTAACAAAACTAAACAAAAGTTAGCTTCATTTTATTCCTATGTTTTCCATGCTCTTCAAGTTTGCTCCTCCAAACTATCCCTTGATGAAAAACTAAATTATTTAAAAGCATTAGCTATTGAACAGGGGCTTTTCACGCCAACATTATTAATCACCAAGCAGTTAAAAAATTTTCATCTCAACATACCTAAAAGGCACACTCTTGTTTTAGGAGATTATAAAAATTCTGTTGTCCATTCCCTTCTTTTCATCAATTAGCTATAAAGTTGCACATATTTTGTACAGAAATTTAACTTTCAGTTGGGTCGTTCATTCTCCCATCATTATAAATTTCAAGTTCCATACTCAAGGACTTCATTCCAGATATGAATTCCTGGGGAATTTATATGGATTCCTTGCCAGTGTGGGTTTAATTTACATTGGTCCAAACTAAGAGAGCCTTAAAATTTCGTGTCAAGGAACATGAGGCATATGTTAATAATTTTTAAGTATGAAAAAAGGAAATGCAGATGTCTTCTGTTGCCCAACATCGTTGGTCCAAAAATCACACTTTCAATTTTTCTGCTGCCAAAATTATTCAAAAAAACATCTTCCATTGGAGAACTGGATTTTCTAGAGGCATTTCACATTAAAAAAAATCTTCCTGTTCTATTAACGATCCTAATTCAATCCATCTTTGCCTTCACCCTTTAAAGAAATTATGTTTTAGTTTTGGTTTCATCAACAAATGGTGCCACTAGCTTATTTTCTGTCCAGGCTTTCTTATCTTATCTAATCATTATATCCTATCTCGTTCATTTGCACTTTTGCAGCTGAGGATGGTGTTTGATAAAACATCGAAACTAGTCCTGTGAAAATTTGAAAATATAACGCTGATTTTTGTTGTTTGACTTCTGAATTGGTATTTGTTCTGCGTGTTATTGTGTCTTAATAACACACTTGCTTTCACCACTTTGGCTTAGCTGGACTGCTGTCTGTCTGCTGCTTCTTTCTTGCTACATATTTATGAAAAATGTAAACTTTTTGGAATAGGCACAGTTAATGTGCCAACTGGATTATGGCCACATCATGTTTACTGAAATAAAAGTTGAATTAAATATACCTTGGCTGCCAAATTTCTTATTCATTGTGGATCGTCCCTTCAGCATTCTAAGACATCAAAATTCTAGCTGTTCATTACGGATACAACTGCCTGCATTCTACTACAGAATCTATTATCTATTGTATATATCAATTTCTAAATATCTATTTTGTTAATATTACTATCTATGAAGAAATCCATGCTGCATCGAGTCATGTGCTGTTGGTGGTTTAAAAATTTCACTTGCTGAGTGTCTTTGTCCATCTGTAAATGATGAACTTTTGTTTCATTATTAATGTCTGTTCAATCAAAAGTTGTTGATAATGGGATTTACTATGTAAAGAATTGGGTTAATCTTTGGATTATGGTAACTTAGCGATTTTTTGGTGAAAATTTGGCGACCAAACCTGCTACAGCAACCTGCTAGTTTTTGTTTGGATGCCATTTTGTTTTCCCGAAGTAAAGGCGTATTTTTTTTTTTTTTGTTTGTTTTTTTACTCAACATTTCCAACATTTTTTTCCAACAATCTGCTAGTCGAATTACGCTTATGCTAGAACTTTTATGCTTAACCTTTTCCCGTGGGCTATAGGGTCCAATTTCGAATGTATTTTGGCCATTTAGTCACTTATTTTAACTGAAAGGAACAGAAAAACAAATCGACAGGGTATTGCACGTCCTAATCCATATTAAGGAGTAAATTTTAAATCTCCATAGTTCACTGAAATTTCTTGAGACGCATTTAAAGTAGTGAACGTGCGGGACATATATGTCCCAGCCCCCAGAAAAGGTTAATCATGACGAAGATTAGGTGCGAAATTGCGATAAAGTGCAGAATCGCGCACTGCTTGTCGCGTTTTTACGCACATGCACGGTATCATCCATTATCATCCATGTACACGTTGACCTATTTTCACTTAAAAAAAATCCCAGAATTGCACAAAAATGGCATTGTGCACACTCTTGACTATATCCATGTACACTGCTAAAGTTCTAGCTAGTAACCTTTATCGCCTTACCAAAATGTCGCCAAACTACCTATTACCATGTTCCAAAGATTAGCCAAGAATTGTCATAAATAAATAGAAGAGGGTTTTTTTTTTTTTTTTTTTTTTTTTTTTTTTTTTGTTTCCTGAGCATTTCTTAGCAATTCTGTAATTATGTTTTGTGAAAAAATCTCGCATTTTGTTTAGGATTTTTTTTCATTGGCTTTTTTATATAAAATCTGTCAAATTTTGCAAGATTTGGTTAATCATAAGGATTTTATTCCTCTTCTAAGCATGAATAATGATCAGTAAATTGTGTATCATAAATTTCTTCATTACCACACTCATTTATTGATTTAAATCAATTGGAATTTGTCAGCTGTTCTAATTATTCATATCCCTACAAAAAGTTGCTAACTATTAAAGCATTGTGAATTGGTAAAAATATTTGTTTGGATATCGTTTTGGCTCATAAGGATTGTTTCATTCATGAAGAATGGAAAAGAAAGCATTTTATGAGAAAGAAACAAGATTTATATTCTTGAAATTATTATTTTTACAGATGGTGAATATTATTCAGCAAACTGACAATTAAAAGTAAAGTTTGTAAATCCATGTGTATGCATATGTACATGTACAGTTTATCTGCTGCTTGCATGTAAATTCAAAAGTATACGAATATATAATCGAAAGTTCAAGCTTACTTTTATAAAATTGCTCTAACAGTCTGCAAAAAATAATAAGCCGAATCCAATTCGAAGATTAAGGAAAAACGCAATCTGCAACATTAACTGAATTAGATAATTTTAGCTTAGCTTATACCGTCTGTTATACATTAAACGCGCATTCGTAAACATATTTTGTGCACGCGCACACACATATTCACAGCCGTAAAGGTCTTACGCACATGCGTCAATGCGAAGCATGTGCAGAAAGTTTGTAGCTTTGAGGTCCAGATTATTTGTGTCCGAATTAACAACTTTTGACTGTATTAATTTGCTTTTTAAAATGAAACATAAGAAATATTAAAAGGCATTTTGGTTGATCTTTACATTATGGTAACTTGGCGATTTTTTGGCGAAAATTTGGCAACCAACTCTCTTACAGCAACCCTCTATTTTTTTTCCCTGCCGCCATTTTGTCTTCACGAAGTAAAGACATGTTTTTTCTTTTCTTTTTATCTACTGAACACTTTCTTCCAACAATCTACTAGCCGAATTACACTTATGCTAGAAATTTTATCAAACAAAACTGCTTAATCATGACAAATATTCACTGCAAAATTGGGAAAAAGTGCACAATACCATACTCCTTACGCGTTTTTCAAAATAACACATACACATAAACCATGTACACACCCGACTTATTTTTACTTAAAAAAACATCCCGAATTGCACAAAAATGGCATTGCGCACACTCTTCACTATATCCATGTACACTGCTTTTTTCTCTCATAAATTAGAAAAAATTTCACAAAAATACATGACAATTTTCTCAATCTTTAAACCCGGTAAAAAGAACATATATGAAATTACCTGATCACGAAAAGTATTTATTTACCCTTTCCAAATATGAACATTTCCACATATAAAATAAATAAAATATCCAAAAACTTTTACCTCTAAATCATCTATTACATTATACACGTCACCAACGAATTCATACCGCAAGCATTACAAATACTTAGTATCAAATATTTAAATTATTTCCATGCACGTTTATTTCAACTAAACGTATATACCAAATTCCTACAAACATAAAATTCACAAAATAACTATCATTTCATTAAAATATAATTAAATTCAAAAACACTACTTAAAATATAAATGAGCACATACATTAAATTAATAAAAATTACCTTACAATCCTAATTACTTTAAACTAAATCATTGCTAATAACAATTTTCCCAATAATACCAAATTCCTTTCCACCTTACATTTAGAACAATGCATAAAAATAATATCCTCAAATAATTCAAAATACTAACTTACCTAATCTTCTTCAGAATCTTGATTACGTGGCGGATACACTTTTCTAATTCCTTCAATAAAATTATTGAAAGATTTTTTCTGCGAATTTTTCCTCCATACTTCCTCCGCTAAATAAAAAGCAAACTTCTCTTTATTACAATGCCTAAATACCCATTTCGAATTCACTTTAGTTAGGGCCATGGGATCCAAAAATTAACCAACGCTGTTTCACACAACACAGAATAAAGCTAAATACAAAATTTCCAGATTTTTCCCCGATTTCCCCCCTTTTCCGATTAAAGAACCGTAATTCGTCCATTAATATCACATGACATATCCCATGATCTCTCATTTCCCTCACGCAAAATAATGCGTAATCGGAACTGAGTACTGCTCACGTTATTACCAAAGTCCCAGGTAGTAACCTTTATCGCCTCCAAAATGTCACCAAATTACCAGTTACCATATTGTAAAGATCAACTGGCATTTTTTGTAATGAAAAGCATATTAAAGCGTATTTGCAGTTTCTTAAAAACTAGAGAGTGATCAGTTTAAATAATTTTTGCACATTTCTTTTAAAGGTCTGTAGTTTTAGAAATACTGTTATAATATTTCTGTTCATTGATGGAAGGTTGAAAAAATATATAAATTAATCCTGAAGTTTTTAATCATTTGCTTACAATATAGTTTTCTTTTTTTTTTTTTTTTTTTTTTTTTTTTTTTTTCCTCCTGTCAGCAATGCCTTTTGCATTTTGTACACGTGAAAAATATCCATGGGTTGAGTTTGCTGAAGAAGCTGAAACCGGTCCTACAACTAGATTTTGCTGTGAGGTAAGGAATATTTAGTTATAACAAGATCAAACTTATTTCTTTATTTCAGTCTCTCGAAATAATGTTATTATTTTTATTTTGTAAATAATTTCAGCCCATTGTGAATCAAGATCAGAAATTATTCTTTCATTTATTTCCATATCATAAAAGTGCATTGTTCTTCATCATGAAAAGCAGAAAGTGAATTTATAATTTTTTAAAATTTTTATAATATCTTTGTATTCTTAATAACATTTTACAAAAAGTGTTATTTTATATCATTAGGATAAAAAGTAAAATACATTTCTAAGTTTGCTTCTTGTGTATACTATGGTCTGCCTCAGAAATGCAATTTAATTATAATGTTGAAATTTTATAATAGTTTATAGATGGCAATAATTGGAACCTGTATATTTTTTCTTTATTGATTTTTTAAAAAAGTGGTTTACTTTTTGGTAACATTGTTTTATTTCCTGTTTATACAATTGTATGTTCATGACAGGTAATGAAACAGATGTGGAAGCCTTTAAATTTCTCTTTCTTAGTTTTAATTTTATGTGGTAGAAAAGATTTAATTTTATCAGAAATGGACAATCATTTGCTTTTATTAACTCATTAGTGCATGAAGTTCTGCAGATTTAGATTTTGAGTTCGAAGTAAAAAGGAAGTATTGTAATCGCAAAAAAGTTTTAGGCAGCTTTTTTCAACGAAAATATCCATTTTGACCGCTATCGAATGCAATTTAACGATGTTTTTGCGCGATATCTGTATGTAAGGACAGAATAAAAGACTCGTTTCGGTAAAAGTTTACAATTGAGTGCCCCTTGTTTATTGGCGATTCTGTTTTGATGGCAAGATCGGCGCCAGGAAGGCACAATTTCAAGATGGCCGCTACACAAAACCAAAATAAGAAGTCAAAGAATTGCACAAGATCTGTGTCCATGTACACATCGATCTGTTTTTACTTAAACAACCTAGAATTGCACAAACTAGGCATTGTGCACTGCCTTAAATATGTCCATGTACATATCAATCTATTTTCATTTAAATAAAATCGGGAAGCTAAAACAAAGTTAAAACTATCGTGATAACCAGAAGTGAGGATTTATCGGCAAAATTTTTAAAAAATTGTCGCCAATCGAAGGGGCACCCAATTCTACACTAGAGCCCTCGTTTCTTCCAAAAAAAATTATAGAACTGCTTTAAAATGAATTCTGAAGAGAATTTTTTGTGGCGTCTGTACGAACGTATCTCGCATAACTCAAACGCGAGTAGCCTCAGAACGTTGCAATTTTATGTATAGGACTGCTATAACATGTAGATGTGCACCTCGTATTTTGATTGCAATTCGCTGCACCAAACGTATATAAATATATTTTTATATATATCCACTCTGTTACCAGGCTCACTGATCTCAGTTTATTTACTCTTATATGTTTGTAAATTGTACATTTTTTGCTTTAAAAATGATTGAATTATGTTGTTCTTATCTTCCGGTTAAGGTTTTTATGCTTTTAGTAAATCTGTATGCAATATTTTTAGAATTATCAACAATTTTAAAGTTATTTAAGTGCCGCTAAGCCTTTTTTTTTATGGCGGCCATTGATTGTTTACATTTGAAACAGCAGACTAGTGGATTTGTTGCCAATCTAGAGAAACTTAGCTTCGCAACAACAAAGATAATGCCTTGATTTATTATTGCGAATTAAATCATGCTTAATCTTTTCTGGAATTTTTTTGAGGTTAGTGTTTAAAATTTACTTTGTAATTTTTAATAGATATTTTGAGTTTTTATGTATTTTTGCCTTGTCGCGAAGTGAGAACTGAATTAATGGAATGAGAAATACTCAATCATCTGTGAAAAACTGTTTCTTTTTTGTTTTGTTTGCTTGATTTCTTTTATACATCATTCTAGCTTTATTATAGTATTTGAATAGAACATGTGGCAACGAGTAGATAATTCTATTCTTTAAATGATGTAAATTTTGTGTATTCTGAGTTATAATATGAACGAAATATAATACTGTTAAGTGCATCTAGCGCCAGAGTGTCGCTATGGTAAACAAATAGAGTGAGTTTTAAAGAATGCATTTATTCTATTGTGGTTTACGAGCTGTAAGCGAAGTAGATTTAATTCAATCCAATAAGTTTAAATGAAATGCAAGAAAAAATGTGGATAATTTATTATTTCGTACAATGAAGTCGTGGTGTACACATCAGATTTTTTATTTTTGATTTCATACATTGTCAGCAGTAATTCAAACTGTTATACGAGGCTTAGCTTGAAATTTATATTCTGATGTAAGAGAGACATCCAAAGAATCAGATCATTTATGCTGAGTACTTTTAATGTAAAAATCATATTCATATATAATTTTTTATTCGTACTGTCAACATAACATATGGTTATACCTTTATTTGCTTTGATTAGTGAATGTGTATGTGACTTTACCAGTAGAGAAGCACTACTGTTGGGTGTCATTTACCTTCACATAATCTGTTAAACAGTGTATCAGTTGTTAAAGAAAAAAGATATGTTGCTTGGTAGTTAAAAGTCTGGTTCAGTATTCTATATGCCAGTGATGATTGCAGTGAAATTAAAAATTATAAATGCATCTCCAATTTTTTTCAATCACATGTGTTAGAGGGTTAAAAGAATATTAATGTGTAGGATTTTTATATTTAAAATTTTTTTTATGTTCAATTTCCCTTTGAGTTGTTAGACTGTAATCTGATGTTTTCAGGCTTAAAAGGTCAGAAATCTCTACAGCTCAGTCCGACTATTTTTCACTTCCTAATATATAGCATAATGTTATACAATACAAAGTCTGTAATCCAGACTCGTCGGGACGTAAGCGATTCCGGATTAGGGGTTTTTCCGAGTTATAGATCATCAATTTAAATTTGGTAATATGGCATGCAGAAATTATACAATCAAAAATATGAAACCGTAATTTATGAAATAAAGAGCAATTATGATCTAAAGGGTATCAAAATGTACAAAAAAAAAAAAAAAAAAAAAGCTTGATATTTATATGTTTACATTATAAAATGTTTCTTTCAATGTAATTTGTTTCCTTTTTTGTGCTAATACTTTCTCTTTAATTCTATAAACAGACATAATTTCTTGTTCAGTTCCACTGTTCAAGTCCTGTAATTGCTGTGTCGAGAATACCGACTAACTTGTCAATCAAAATTTTTTTGTTTTCAATAACCTCTCCATCACTTTCTTCCCTGTCGGAAGCGGTACATCGTAACATGCTTTCGCTTTGTAGATCCTTTGGGAACTCATTTTGACATAATCGAAATTTCAAGCTTAATTTTTATAAGATTGCTTTTACAGTCTGCAAAAAATAATAAGCTGGGTCCAATTAGAAGATTAAGGAAGAGCACAATCTGCAACATTAACTGAAATGCCTTAGAATCAGTAAAGATAATTTTAGCCTAGCTTATACTGTCCGTTATACATTAAACGCACATGCGTAAAGCATACAAAAAAGAAGTTTGTGGCTTTGAGGTCCGGATTATAGATCATTCCGGATAATGGATGTCTGGATTACGGACTTTGTAGTGTATTGTATTTTGTTACACTCTTAGAAACATATACAATCTATGCAGCCTTCTAATTTAATACATTTATGTGATTGATTTACCTTTTACTTTAATCATTTTTATGAATATTTGCATCATTATTGGAATTAATAAAAATTGTTTCTATAGTCATGTATTAAGTACCTTGGCATGGAATAATTATTTGATAATTTTGTGTAGACTACCTAACAACATATTCTTTTCTTTTTCCATTGTGTAATGTATAATTATAAGGTATGAACTTCAGAAGTATAAGAGAAATGGGAAGAAGACAATGTCCTACCTGCCTTTTAAAGCCACATGTAATTTTAAAAGATTTAATGAATTTTAAAATTGCATCTCCATATGTTTACATCCTTTTTATATAGCTACATCTCATTTTTGAATATTCTGTTATGATTAAAAATGTCTTTTTCATGAAAGCATACTACTGCATTGTTCTGAATTCTTAATAAATTAAAAATTACTAACATATTTTGTATCTGAAAAAATGAAGATGATTATTATTGTGCACTTTCGGTTTGTCTGTGGTACTTGTTCAAGGTGTTAAGTGGGGTTAATGTGAAGTCAGTGATCAATTTAATTTCTGTTAACTTTTATATTTCTTTTTTAACTATCCTCAAAAGTTTTATGTAAATACTGCTTCCATAGAAATTTATTTATTTTTCAGTGCCTTTGAAATTAAAGTATTGCTGTCTGAGGTTAAACATTCTGCTTCCTCCTGTAATTTTGTTTTTAATTATGGTAATATTAAACATAATTTTTTATCAGTTTTAGTTGTTAAGTTTTCTGCAAAGAAAGCAGGTATCTAGAAGTATGTAGGTTTAGTAATATTTTTATTTTAAGTCTTCACTTAAGATAGTTTACAGTTGATATAATTTTTTAAATTAATATTTAATATAGGTTTGTGAACAATAATGAAATGACAATTGAAATTTTAAAATAGTTAAGTATTTTATATTTAAATGAAATTTTAATTTTATATTTATATGAAATTAACTGGCACTTAGCTTCATCTCTTTAGTTCTTTTTAATGTTGAACATAAAATGTATAAATTGCTTTCAGTATAACGTTTTACATGTAAGACTATATGAAAAAATCACAAGTCTTCAAAATTAAGAATTTATATTTTTTACGAGGAGGTATTTGATGCAGTTTGCAAAAATGTTTTAAACAGTTTTAATGATTATGTAGGTCAATGAGATTTCTTTGGCTTAATTAAATGTGGTGAACTCTGGAGGTAAAGCATTTTATATTAGATGTCTATTTACATGAAAAAAAAATATATGAATTTAATTTTCAAATGTCATTCAGATTTGAATCATTCTATGAGTCATTTCAAGAAGTATTATAAGTAAGTGATTGCTAAGAGAAAGAGTCAGAAAATTATAAAACTGTCTTGTATGTGTATTATTTGTTTGCATTAAAAAATGTTGGTGCTATTTTGATTTTTAAAAAAATCAATAGTAATTAATAGTTAATTAATGTTAATAGTATTTAAAATTAATTAGTAATTTTTAAAGTATCTTCTATTTATAGTTAGCTAAGAAGCATAATATGGTTATTGTTTCGCCAATTCTTGAAAGAGATGAAACTTATGGTGATGTATTGTGGAATACTGCTGTGATAATCTTAGAAACTGGAGAAGTAATGGGGAAAACTCGAAAAAATCATATTCCACGTGTAGGAGACTTTAATGAGGTATAGTAAAATTAATTTTTTATTTATTTTTTATTTTAAAAGGATATTTATCTACATGTTAAAACATTATATTGTCTTTTTGTTAGTCAACTTATTACATGGAAAGCGAGTTAGGACATCCTGTTTTTGCCACTCGATTTGGTATGCAAGTTTTTTTTTTTTTTTTCTCTTCCTTTGAATTTCTTTTACATGTGTTATAGAGCAATTTGAAATATATTTATATGTTATGGCAAATTTTGCTAAAATTTACAAATGATATTTTTAAGAGACTTAGTGCTAGGTTTATAGGGAAACAATACTGTGTATTAAGCATGACCAAACTGAGCTCTCTGGCCTCTGTAATAATTTGATTTCAGACTGTTTGTCATATTGTAAACAACAAGTAATAAATAAATAAATAAATTAGTAACTAAAAAAAGGAAAATAATTTCATGGGATGTTACTTTTAGAAAAGATAATGATCCGAACAGTACACAAACAATTGCAGATTGTTTCACAAATTATGTAGATTTTAAAAAAGGTAATAAATCAGCCATAGCTGCATAAAGAAATCAAAACTTTGTTTTCTTCCAAATACACTCGGGTTAAATAAAAGGAAATATTAGTTGACGTACTTCCACTTTCTGAGGAAGGTGATTACTCTGTTAACAAAATTCATGATGATCCTTTCACAGACATCTGTGTTGTTTCACTAGTGATTTGTTGAATTTCTCATTCCAGTGTAGGAATAGTGTGTGATTTGTACATGTAAAATTTTTATTTGACCTGACCCCATAAAAAAAGTCAGAAGGCCTTGCAGACTATTTTGGGTCTCTGCTACACAATGAGATCAGGCTCTTGGGAAATTTTTTGTAAGGTTGTCACAAAAATCTCATGGGATAGGTGATGGGTATCCCTATCTTGCTGAAACTGCATATTTTTGTGGTATCTATTTCATACAGAATATGCAACAATAAGTTTGTGGTCATGACATGATAATGTTCACTGTTACTATAAATGCATTTCTTAAATGAAAGAGCTAATCACACGTCTTGTTTCCGAACAACACCAAGCAGTACGGGTAGCATGGAATGCAGCTGATGCTCTTAAATCCTTAGAGTTTCCCTCCCCCTTTTTTTAAATACAAATATGGCAGTGTAATCTGTTGACAAATCCGAACAGGTGAAAATGTACCTCATGAATGAAAAATATTGAAAAATTGTTACTTTCATCTTCTTTTGTTAAAATACACTTGGTACTTAAATTGTTGGTCATTTTTAATTTTGGATAAGTGCATAAGTTCTTTTATCAGCGTTTGTTGCTTTGATGATGTTGATATTCCCAATTGTTGTGAATGACTTTGGAGCAATTTCTTGGGGTACACAATTTACACTGCAGTGTCTTATTCCATTTGATCTATGCAGTTTTATGTGTAAAATTTTTTGGTTGCAACTGACTGAGATTCTTTGAATTTCTTAACTGTCATTTTGGTGAGAGTATTATTGTGTCCAAAGTTCCCATGAAGTTTATGAATTATCTCTGCATGACACTCTCCATCTCTCTAATGATGTTTCACAATTATGATGCATTGCTTCTTGATAAGCAGCTGCATGGTAGTTAAATGAAAAACCAAACAAATGCTGAGTTAATCAAAGTAATAGCAGATAAATGAAACTGTTAAAGATTGTGCTTTATAACCTTCAAACAAAAAACTAGTATGCAGTTCAAAAACCAACATGTTTTATGAAACAAATTATATAAAGTTAATTTAAAATGCAATACATTCCGATTTTTCCTACCCTGTGAGGTTTATTTCATTTGAGGCAGTTTCTCATAACTGCCTTTCTAAGTAGCCCTCTTTGCTTCGGAGCAAAGTAAAATATTTTCTATTTGTGCTTCAATCCATATCTGTCACAACTTTCATTATATAGCATGCATTAGCATTAAAACTGAACAGCCAGTCCTTAACAAGTCAGTTTAATGTTGTGCATTTTCCTGCACAATTTTTGTAACTACTTACAGTAATATGAATCTGTCTCTTGTGTGCTGGTTCATTAGTAATTCTAGGCAGAGTTTTATTTAATTCACGTAAGATTTTACTTATCAAAATCGGGGATCACAAGAGAAGATGGTCTTTTTCCCAGAAAGAGCAGTAATTTCAACTCTAACTTAGTTTGTATTCCATGTTTCATTAATAGCCATTATTCAAAGCAAAAATCTTTCACCTTCATTATCAGATTTTCATTTCAATTTTGTTTCATAATACAATGAGGAACTGCTTGGTCATAAACTTTTCTTTTCTACAAAGGTCAAAATATAGTATACTGATGGTGTGAAATCTCTGTAATGTATGACATTTCATACATTACAGAGATTCCATTGATACTGCTGTTTTTTTTTTTTCTTTTTCTTTCTTTCTTCCTTCCTTACCACAGATGTTATCTTTTTTTTAATCTGTTAATCTGTTCATGTATATCATAGTCTTTACTTATAGCATCTCGTAAGACTAGCACATCTTGAAAGAAAATTAATAGCTAAAGTTATACTTCAGTCCACTACCTGACCAGCACACCCTTCATCCAAGACACAGTGAAATTCTGTTGAAGTTTTTGCCATGTTAACTTTCAATTTTGAAATATGATCTTTGATTTTCGGTAGTATAGTATCTCAAGTGCCAACAGATTTCATTTCAGACACCTGTAAAATGTTATGCTCTAAAGAACTGGGATGGGAATTTGCTTTTACCTCATATTTTCAACTGTAAATAATACAAATAAGTAAAACCTGTCCCACCATTAAGGTTTACTACAGTTTTGTATCAGAGCAGAGGTCCCCAACCTTTTTGTCCCTAAGAGCATATTTTAGAACATCTGTTAAACAACAGGCACCATTTACTTCTTCAAGGTGAATTTATAGTTGAATAGAGTTAATAGTACATGAACATTAAAAAAAAAAAAAAAGAGAGAGAGAGAGATCAGTTGCTTTTCACTTTGTGCTGGTATCTGTGTTGGACGCAATTTCTGTTTCTTTAAAAGTGAGAAAACTTTAACATAGATTTTTATTTAAAACTAAAAAAAAAAAACATTTTTATTGTGATCGCACAGTGGCAGGGACACATTAAATGATCGGCGGGTGCCAATATTGCCCGCGGGCATAGTGTTAGGAAACCCTGAAATAGAGAATATGAAGTGGTTCTTTCAAATATGGTTGAACAATTTGTGCCAGTGATAAATCTAGAACCCAGATGGTTTAGCGTCAAGCAGACTTACTCTGGAAGATATGACACAACTTATGAATACTACATAAGAAAAAGCAAAGTGAAAATTCAGAAAAAATAATAAGCAGTATGTTAAACTACACAATTCTTTGTTCAACTAATACATAACATTCATAAACTGCAAGATATTTAACATCTGTGTGGGTTGAATTTTTGATAAAATGTAATCAGCTTGATTCTTTATTTATTTTTCTGTTCCATAAAATAGTAATAATGTAATTGTGTATTGAAAAAGGAAATGTTAAATTCCTTTGTTAATGATTTTGTTCAAGTAGAAATATATCACAACCTGCAAAACCACACTATAATGCTTAAAATTAAGAGAATTTTTTTATAAACTGAATTCTGAAGCATAATTTAATAAAATATCAATGATAAATACAGGAAATTTTATTTGTATTGATTTTAAAATATGATGATTTTTAAAATTTGATTTTAATAAAAAAATGTAAACATTGTAATCGACATTGGAAATTTTAGGGAAAATTGCTGTAAATATCTGTTATGGGAGACATCATCCTCAGAACTGGATGGTTTATGGAATAAATGGAGCTGAAATAGTTTTTAATCCATCAGCTACTATTGATGAATTAAGGTATGCAAGTTTCTACAGTTCTTTCACTCCCTTTCTTATGTTCATACTGTATAATAAGTTATGATGCTTTTCAGAGCAGTTTGTAATTAGGTGCACTTAAAATATGATCCATCATTACTTTCATAACAGAAATAAAACTGTTTCTGTTATTCAGGTAATGATGGTTTGCATTGTTACTTCCATATATATATCAGTGCTTAGCTTTACAGCTTATGTCATGTTAAAAATCAGTTATGTGTTACAATTCATTTTTCACAAGTTATTTTTTCTGTATACAAACATATATATGTATGCACTGACGAGCCAAAATATTACGGCCAGCCACACATTTTTAATGAACTCATTTGGATGACATGGGGTCACATGATTAAGTGGGAATGGTATTTAACCCTTACTGGAGGAGGTAAGGTTTGCATTTACTTTGACAAGGTGATTGGAAAGGCTGCTGATCTAAGCGAATTGGATAGAGGATAGATTGTAATGGCATGAAGACAATATCTCCAAAACTGCATAACTGGTAGGTTGTTTACTATCTGTCGTTGTTAGTATTTATGCAAAGTGGATAAATGATGATGAAACCAGTAGTAAATGCCAGGGTGTTGGACATCCACATGTCATGAAAGAAAAAGGATGTTGCAGACTGTCCTCCTTGGCACAGCAAAATTGGTGCCAGATAGTGGCTCAGCTGGCAGCCCAATACAATTCAGGTCCAAGTGCAAGTATTTCTGAACACACAGTTCAGTGGATGCTGTTGGATATAGGACTGTTCAGCGGACTTCCCACTCATTTACCTGTGTTGACTAAATGTCATTGTCAACTACACTTTATAGTGGGCTTGGAACTATTAACAGTTGGCTGGTCGGATGAACCACGATTTCTCATTCATTACATCAATGGTAATACTGGGGTACGCTGTCTTCCAGATGAATAGTTGCCCCTCCCCATGTTGTGGTAGAACAGATCATTAAAGCTGTGGACTGTCTGAACATAATTATCCATCAGTTGCACCTTTACATGGCATCTGTCTTCTCAACTGGAAATTGAATCTTCCAGCAGGACAATGCCCCCATGTCACAAGGCTCGAATTGTGCTGGAGTGGTTCGAAGAGAACAAGGATGAATTCTAATTAATATTCTGGCCACCTAACTCGCCGGATTTTAACCTAATAGAGCACATTTGAGATGTCATGAAATGAGCTGTGTTTATTTGCTCCATTCTGTTGCATAACTGGAATGCAAGCTGAACTCGATGATGATCTTTAAAAAGTTATAATGAATTTTCATTGAAAGCTGTAATCAGTAGCAATGAACCGTGGAACAAATAAGTTTTCACAGTTGTAACTGAGGTAGTTTTTGAACCATAGTAGAATTAATTTATAACTGAATAAATATACAACTGAGACAGGTTGCATAAATAAGTGTATAATAGAGATTTCTGTGTTATCAAAATGGAAAATTCTTTTAAATTCATTTGGAGAGTCTCATGAGATAGCTTTTGAGAGATGGTTCATCTGGTAAAGAAATCAATCTTCCCTTCTAATTTCCGAAATCTGATATATATGTACAGATTAAATAATTTTATATTATGTAGAATTTTACAAGTTTGCATAAACATCTACATATTTAAACACTTTATCTTTGATATATTGTGTAATATTATTCTCAGAACTGTGATATAGTTGAAGAAAATGATAATAAATTTATTAGAATGAATAAATAATTGTGTATTTGAAATTGCATGCTCTCAGCACTGTTTTTAGCATATATTTTGATAAAAAGTGTTAAGCATTTTACTGTTTTTAATGTATTATGTCCTTGTGTTTGCAAGTAACCTTCTGTAAAAGGTTTGTACTTCTATAACTCTGTGGAGTCAGAAAATCACATAATGTTTAAATACGTCTGTTGTTAAAGCAGCAGTAATGTAAAATAGTAATTTTATTTAATATTTGTGGAATTCAGAGCAAAAATATATATTGTGTGTAAAAGTATCTAAGTATTCTTTTTATCTTTGAAGTGAACCATTGTGGCCAGTTGAAGCAAGATGTGCAGCTATAGCCAATAGTTATTTTACTTGTGCAATCAATAGAGTAGGAACTGTAAGTTATTTTGCTTTTTTTCCCCCTACCTCACAAGAAATTTGACGACCCTCAGACTTAATGTGAATGCATAATTTTTATGTAAAATAATACGATAAGTTTTTCTTGCTTATCAAGTAGCATTATTTTATATGCTGGAAATCTTGGTATTTGAGTGTAATTTTTTTTTTTTTTTTTTTTTTTTTTTTTTTTTTTTTTAATGGAAAGCTAAAACTTCTGAAAAGTTTTCACAAAGATAAGAAAACTGGATTATGTGATGCAAGTGCAGAACTATTTTCTCCCTAGAGTGTAATGTTTGTGATTATTAAATTGCAAATTCTTTTAATCATGCTACTTTATATTTCTGCTTTAAGTCTGGTGTTAATACATATTTTTGAACATTTGAGTTTTTTATGTATATTAGCTTGTTTAATATTCTGTTTAGGTTGTTGTTTTCTGTTGTTTAATATTCTGCATAGAAGCAGAATAATTAGCCAGTTTTTGATAAATTCTTGTTTTATATTTTTAAAAGAGTTTTTGTGTATAATGTATTTTTTGTGTATAATTTTGTGTATTGGATACTGTATGATTAATTTGTTTTGTATTTGAAGGCCTATACATACAGTTTATATATGATCCTCAACCAGTGGGTATTCCCCCTTGGGAGAAATTTCATAGTGTCAGGGGAGGAATGTGGTCAGTTTTATTTGGCTGTTTACTTTTATGCTCTTGTTTAATTCATAAAACACATTAATAAAATAATATAAAGTTTAAAAAATATATATACTGTTGCATTCTATGGGTTTGTAAATTTAGAATGATTGATGACAACATTTGATGAAGAATCAAAACACAATTTATTTGCCAGTATTACACAGGGGAGTTCCAAAGACATGTTTACAGTGATCGAAAAACTACGATAAACACACTAAAACGATCAGCAACACAGCTGAAACAATCGGCCTTCAGGCTACAATGGTTAAGATAGCTTTACAAAAAAAAAAAAAAAGCAGCAAAATGCACCTTCCAACTCGGTTTAGTCGCTCTCAAGCTAATCTCTGAACTCAAGATACTCTTCACTATGCTTCACAATACACTAGTCTGTATACAGGCAGAGTATTTATAGCTTTTGACCTGCATTCGAAAACATTCTTGGGAACACCAGTAAGAATTCATTCTAGAATGTTTCCTCTCTATGGCATATCTCCAATTTTGTCGCCAAATGAGCAATTTAGTGCCAACTCTGGCAACCCTAACCCCACTTTGTGTGGAAGCTATCCTATGGCAGCCAGGCATTTCATAACAATATATTTTCTGAATTTAGTATAGGATAGAGAACAGTTGTGAAAGTGGTGAATGGAGAGAGAAAAAAAAAAAAAAAAAAAGGTTTAAAACCACTTCATCAGACCTTATTGTTTGCATCACAGTTTGCTGCAAGTGCATGAGGCTATATAGTTTTGCTCCAGGCTTCTTGATGTGAGTTGCCTTAATATCTTACCCAGCCAGTCAGAATTTGCAATCATTCGAGATAGTGACTGGTGATTATTTTACACGAATATATAAATAAAACACAGAAATGAGAATTTGGTCTTTATTACATAGGTCATGTGGCTTATATTCCAGATAGTGTGATTAAGAGTGACTGTCACCCAGTCAGGTTTATACAAATGTGCTCTCTAAAATGTATATAATAGAATTCATATGGCAGTTATTTATTGGTAAATTGGAGGCAGTACATGGTAAGACCATAAAGTTGTGAGATATGAACTGGCAGCTTCTTCAGGATGACAGTAACCCAATTCACTCATTCAGGAATTTTGGGCTGAATATAAAATCTTAAGTTACAATATTAAGTCAAATATATCTTCATGCAACTTACGATGCTTTTAAAGTAAGAATTCCACTGAAGAATTTGATATCAATATAAATACTTTGAATCTCCCAAGGTACATATTATCAAGGTAATTGAAGTCTAAGTGTAATAAATAAACTCAAAGTTTTCATTGTTTATTTTTTTTAAAAGAAGGCAAAAAGTGATTTGAAAGAATACATAAATTTAGGGCAGTTTTGCATGTTTTGATCTGACCTCATATATCTCATGATCTGACCCACTAGACCTATGATTATTAATTTATATTTTTTTATTTTAACCATTTTTATAATCTGATTATATTTTGAGGCAAATCTCTTTTTTTTTTTCTTCCCAAACAGGAAGTTTTCCCAAATGTGTTCACATCAGGCAATGGCAAACCAGGTATATATTTACATAATTAAGAAAGTTCATATTTTATTTTTATAATATATTATTAAAATATTAAACTAATGATATTTCTATTTTTCTTTCAGCGCACAAAGATTTTGGACATTTTTATGGGAAGTGAATTTCTTATTAATTCTGTTCTTAAAAATATAACTGTCCAATACTTTAAGTTGCTCAAAATGTTTTATATGAAATATTTGTAAAAATAATGTAGAGATAAATAATAAAATGATCAAAATAATGTAGAGATGCCCTCTGGAGAAGAGGAAAAAAGCATTTTTCAAGATGTTTAGAAATAAATGTCCATTCATAAGTAAAAATTCCAAGTTTTCAAATAATGCACTAATGAAAGGAGATATAAAATATGTGAAAAATCTTGTTTGATTTCCCCCACCCTTTTTGAAGAATAAAATATAGGCAATCTGAACTTTAAAAACAATTTGTGACCAAAGACAAAAAAAAAAAAAAAAAAAAAAAAAAAAAATTTGCATACAGCATAAATGCAGTATAGCCATTTTCTTGTCTTGAAATGTGCTTTAGCATTTAAATTAAAGTAAAATAATATTTTTCAAAATGTTTAAAAAAATGTGTATTCATAAATATTTGTAAAAATTCAAATCTTAAAATAATGCAATGATACAAGTGTTGGAAAGAAGGGATATATGATATGTCAAAACTCCTAATTTTTTTCCTCCCCAAATTTTGAAGAATTAAACATAAGCGGTCTGAAATTAAAAAATAATTCACAATCAGAAACCTAAGAAGAGCTAAATGCCATCTAAATCAGTACAAATGTCTGTTTGGCAATTTGCACTTTTACCCATTTTCTTTTATAACCAGTGTCATACATTTGATACATAGTCCACTGTTTCATCTTATTGTTAATTGCAAAATATGTATTTCTTATGTTAAATTTATGTACTGCTCTAAATATTTGTTTTGCCGTTCTCTCCAAAATACTTTAAATAATGTAATCTTTAAAACTGGTTTCAATGAAAATAAATTTAAACTCATTTTCTTTTATTTAAATATTGCTGCATTTCGAGACTTATTGTTCAGCTATTAAAAAAAATGGAAATCTGATCACTCATTGACTATGTTCCAGTGCTAACTGTGAAATCCCATGTAATGCAGAAAGTGTAATCTACTTCATGTAATAGTGCCCTTGTAATGCATTGTGGCATTAGTTACTTGTAAGCATTAGTTACTTAATATATAATTTAAAATAAAATTGAAGGATAAGTAGAGGCCATAATTAAGTATTAATTATGTAATATATAAAAGTTAAAAGTGTAACTGGAATCAGAACTGCCCTGTAATTTGCAATTTTACTACTTTGTGCTGGTATTTTATTGCTTATACTCTAAGCATGAATTTTTCTGTTACAAGCCACTTCTTTCAAGTTCTACTGAAAGGGTGTTTCAAATTTTTAAACAGATTGTCTTTCATCTAGTTTGACATCAGATGTAATTGCTTGGGACAAGATAAGTACTTGCATCTGTACTTATTTATCTGTACTTTAAAGATAATAGCCTAAAAATTGGATAAATCAAAAAATTATTAAAATCTTAGCTGTCTTAAGCACTTATACAGTCATGTGAAAAATTAAGAGAATTTGCAAATTATGTCTGTTTTTATGAAAAGCATTGAACAAAGATAGTAATTATGCAAATATTCAAAGTCATAAGCATACATGTGTGTGTCTGTGGGGCTGTGATTTCAAAGACACAATTTGTCCTGAGTTGCTGTTAATGGATGACGACATTTGTCCACATGGAGCTTAGCTGCTAGATGGTCATCTGGAAAGTGAGGATACTCACCACATGGATTAGCCAGCTAGATCTCCTGATCTCAGACCTATACAGCATGTCTGGAACTCTCTTGGGAGGGCAATTTCATGTCACCATCCCCCTTCAAGAACCATTCAGGAATTGAAAACTGCCTTGCTGCAGGAGTGGAATAGGAACCCTCTCAGTTGCCTCCTGTACAGTATGCCATCATGCTGTGTGACCTAGCTGGCTGTGAGAGGGGAGCATACTCCATCTTAGACTTATTTTTACTTCGATGTGATAACATGGATTTTGGACATTACTCTATATTATTAACATGCACTATGAACATTACTTCATAATCATGGGTACATAAAATGACTTTTGAGTGGTCTCTTTCTCTGTTATAAATGTATATGCATACTAAATTTCATTAAAATTTGTCCATTAGTTTTTCAGAAATATGGCATAATGTGCAAATTCTCTTAATTTTGTATGGAACTGAATTTATTATTTTTAACTTACACAAGCAGTACTTCTTTACTTGTAGCTAATATCTTTATTGCATAATTAATTTAGTTGAATCAGTGTAATTCTTTTATTTATTGTGTTCTAGCTATGCTTGAAATGTTTGCAGAACTTTTATAGTTTGCAATAGCTTTTTATTATAATAATACACTTTAGTACATTTACGTCTGTTGTCATTGAAAAACGTGTGAAATGTGACATTTTACATACACTTTAGTACGTTTATGTCTGCTGTCATTGAAAAACTTGTGAAATGTGACATTTTACATAACATAGATGTTCAGGATAATAATTTTGGATATACTAAAATCATTGCCACCTATGAATGAAAACAAGCCTTGTTTTCATTTAAATGCATCCAGTTACTTTCAGTTATACAGAGAAGAGAAATGGTATGCATTCCTGTTTTCTGTAATTCATGATAGGTTCATGTAAAATATAAGAATTTTCTGAGTATTCGTATTTTTTGTCATTACAATGTAACTTACTCTTGATAACTAAACCATTTAGTCCTTCCTTCACATTTCAGTGCCGCTGCAATTTCCTTAATAAATATATTACTTGGGATTTATTTTAATTTATATGCCTACCTGGGGTTAAATATCCAAAACAGCTAAATAATAATTCTTTACTATAAAATTATCTGTTTGAGATCATCAAGAGTTCTTGAAATGAGTACATATACGTTGTTGCTAATATTTATTTGTAACTGTTATGAAAAGACATTTAAAGTACTTAAATATCTTAATTTTTGCATCAGAGTACTAAGATATGAGAATTTAATACTTAAGTTGCCACTTTACAGGTTCAAGCTATATAGCAGGTCCTGATGGAAGCAGAACTCCGGTAAATTTAGTTTTTTTTTGTTTTTGGTAAACCTTCATTCTTAAAACACGCAATTCAAAATTTCTTTTTTGTAAATTGGATTTTTAAAACATTGATAGAATCTTATTTAGAAATTCTGAAATTTTAGGGCCTTTCAAGATTGAAGGATGGATTATTAGTGGCTGAAATGGATTTGAACTTATGTCGTCAAATGAAAGATAAATGGGGATTTAAGGTGAGATTAAAAATAGTTTATATTTTATCATATTAGATTAGATTGTTTAATAATGGCATAGCACAATAGGGCTATTTAGGGGAAGGGATCTCTTTGTGGAGGATCTTTTAAGAGAAAGTGGCTTGAATTCATATTTAACCCATTGGGTACATTTGACGTCTGAGAAACATTAACTTTCCCCTCTAGGAGTGGATGACGTGTCTAAGACGTCAAACCAAAAATTAAACTCTTGGGTACATTTGATGTTTGAGAGACATCATTCACTTGTTTTCAATAGGAGCGGATGACGTGTCTAAAATGTTATTTGAGGTTAGGCACAATTCTGTTCATTTCATTGTAGCTTGTATCAGTCATAATAGAAGAGGCGATTACAGTATTTCGGTGAACATTATTTGTGATACACTGCCCCATTATGTCAGAAACAAGGAATATATTTTATGGTAGTGATAGTGAAAGTGACTTTGAGAAATCTAAAGAAGAATTGTTTAGTGATTCTGCAATTGACAATTACAATGAAATACAAAGCTAAGGTGATGAAGACAATATTGAACTAGAAAATGATGACAATTGTAATATAATATCAAGGTTTCGAAGACGCAAAAGACGTCTATCAAGCAGTGATAGCGAATCTTCTCGTGAATGAGTATCAGAGGAATGGATTTGGGAAGAAGAAAGTGTAGCCGATGTAAAAAGTTTTTCTGAAATATCTGGAATTAATCCTTTGAGCCTGCATAGACTAGGTGGTAATGCTACGCCTTTAGATGTTTTGAAAGAAGTCTTGAATGAAGATTTTTGGGACACTATAGTAGAAGAGACAAATAGATGTGCCAGACAAGTGATAGAAAAAGAAGGTTGTGTAACAAAAAAAAAAAAAAAAAACTTCCCATAAGTTCTGATGAAATGAAAGCTTATATTGCATTATGCATCTTGATGTCGCAAATGAAGAAGCCAAAAATGCATATGTATTGGTCAAAAAAATAAATGCAATAAGTACTCCAATTTTTGCCAGCATTATGCCACGCGATAGGTTTTTTTGATATTTTAAGCTTTCTACATTTTACGAATAATGAAAAGGAAAATAAATATGACAGAATAAGAAAGATTAGAAATATAGTGGATTACCTAAATAATAAATTTTGTTACCTTTATACTCCTGATAGTGAAGTAGCTATTGATGAATCACAACCAAAAATTATATCCATTCCATGTGCAAATATTTTTTCAAATAAATCTGTACCCAAGGGGTTAAGTTAAAAATAATGAAAACAGTATCGACCAACTCGGTAGAAGTATTAGCGATCAGATGCATTGATGAGCCATTGTCCTATTCAATGGTTATGTTATGGAATGTAAAAAAAAAAAAGTCTGATGTGCTCCAAACATGTGGCTACAATTTTTGGGATTGGCCCACCAGCGGCCAAGCGGTAAAGTTGCTGAACACTGGTAGTTTGGTCCAAGGTTCAAATCCTGCGAGCGAGCTGGTTGCTAGGGCGTTTTCGTGGTTTTCCCAATGTGTAACGTGTATACAAGCCGAGCCAATTTCCCTTAGAAAGTCCTCCACGAAGGCATCCCTTCCCTTAGGCAAATAGCCCTAGTGTGCTTTGCCATAATTAAATAAACCAAAACCAAACCAAACATGTGGCTACAGTTTTCGGGAGAAAAACTCAAATGGCTGGAGCTTTTGGGAAGAAAAACTTTAGGTGTTGAATGAGTCTCTTGCTGTGTTATGACAACAAAACATGCACTCACCTTGCTGAGCGGTGGTGAACCAGTTTCTTTTTTGCCAATAACGTGATGTACTTATCTCCTCCATGCATTGTATATCTAATATGATCTCCTCTGTGATGCTGACTACATGTTCCAGTTGTTTTAAATGCTTTCCAAATCCATGAAACAATGCTATAGGTGATGTTAAACTGCCTGGCAACATATGTTACTTTCTGCCCTTCTTTGATCTTTCCAATGATACATCCACATATAAAATCATTTTAGTGATGACGGGATAACATATTGAAACTTTCCAGATCATTAATTTATTCTTTCATTAAAACTTTCACTTGGTACAACTGCTTTCACGTAAAATTCCTTAAATCTTTCAGTGCTGTCATGATGAACAGATGAGGAAATGAAAATTTACATATTCACATCTCTACTTATATCCTGCACTTGTTCTAATTTTACACATTTTGGGATTGCTATCAATGATAGTGTTATCCATTCTTAGCAATTGTGGAGTAATGTAAATCTTAATAGTTATAATTAAATTAGTGGTAACTACATTGTAATTAATATATTATTGCCAATATTAATAGCCTCTAAATTTAATACAGTATCTGAAAATAAACAGCCATGTTCCAAGATCTCATTACCAGTTCTAGGAAAAAAGCCCACAGGAATAATGCTCATAGGTATAAATGCTTACAGGAAAAAAGCCTACACAGTAAAAAGTCCACATGGGAAAATGCTCACTTAGAAATATACTCACATAGAAATATCCTTACATTAATCAATAATTAATCGATCTGAACATAGATCATTTGAAAAAATTATTGGACAAATGCTCACATTAACCTTTTCAGAGGCGGTATATGAAAGAATGAAAATTATAGTAAAATTTTGCATGTACTGTAATATTTTATACCATTGCCCCTGTACAACATTTTTATTCTTGTAACTGCCAATAGTTATTTTTTTTAACTCTATTCTTGCATACTTTGATGCTTATCTATAGGGATTGATGTTTGGATGTAGTTATTTAAGTCTGGAACCAAAAAAGTTCTAGAAGACCACAGTTTCCAGTCGAAGTGTAGAATTATTATGAAGCAGCTTCCAAAAAATCTAAAACCATAAATCGCTACGGAAGCTTTATTAAGGAACTAAATTCATTATTTAATTGTAGCCATCCCAGTATGTGGTTTTGAGAGGGATTGAAAAAAGATTTAGCCTGTTAACGTTTATTATTAGCTATTGTGAATGCAGGGTGCACTGAAGTTAAAAAAAAAAAGAATATGAAAACTTACATTTAGTTATCACGAATCATGTAAGAAACTATGATGAAATCGATGATAAAATTAGATATTTACACATATTAGCTTAATATTCAGTAATTTTGTGTATTTATAACTTTTTGAAATATATATTTATAATTTATATATAAAGGTATTTTACATAATTTAAATAAAATAATTATTTACATTTCTTCTAAAGTTAATATTATCAAATGTGTACTTATATTTACTATTTTATTTTTTTAACAATCAAAACTGTAATAATTTTTTACTGTATATTCTGTTTCTTTTTCTTCCTTTCTCCTCTTCTTTTCCTAATTCAAATCAGTTTATTTGTTTATATTATATAGCAACTGAATCTACACATAAGTTATGCAGTTTTTGATATATATATACACCATAGATGTTTTTGTAATTTAAATAATTTTTCTTTGAAAAATTCAAGTAGGTGTACGATGTTCAAATCGATTAATTATTGATTGATTAATATAAGGATTTTCTACGTATTTTATTTATCAGTGGGCTTATTTCCATGTGAGCATATTTCTAAGTGAGCATTTTTCCATGTGAGCATATTTCTAAGTGAGCATTTTTTCATGTGAGCATATTTCTAAGTGAGCATTTTTCCAAGTGAGCATATTTCTAAGTGAGCATTATTCTTGTGGGCTTTTTTCTGGTCACCCTCTTTACCATCTTGCAGCAATACTACTTTACAGAAATAGTAAAAAATTTTTTGGACTTGTAATGAGGATATATATAAATAAAATAATAATTGTTGACTACTTTTAGCACATGTGAAATATCTGAAAATTGTGAATCAGAATCTCAAAATATGCCTTTGTACAGATAAGGCATATTCCAGATGTTTAAGAAAAATCAGTTATAACTTTTCTTATAACTATTGCTAAACCTTTAATCAAAATTATTTTTCTGGAAACATTTTTGCAATTTGTTTTTAGTGTGACGCTGATGACACTAAATTTAAATGCATTTCTTTAGTCAAAAAAAAAAAAAAGTACTAAGCTACAGTTGCTTCTATTTGCAAAGTAATAAATAAGATATTAATTTCTATATATATTTATTTGCATTCTAATATTCAGTATCTTATTTATTTGACTTTATCAACCATCTTACTCTTCTTATTATTTTAGATGACACAGCGGCTCAACATATATGCTGATGCATTTTACTGGGCAAGCCAGCCTGAATTTATACCTCAGGTTAATTATATACATAATTAACTACCTTTGTCAGAGCTGAGAAAATCCATCACATAAAAAGGGCATATTTTTACCAGAATTTTGTTCTTGAATCCTATTTCACTGTTATTAAGCAGATAGTTTATTATGTTTTTATATCTATTTCTTTTTAATCATGTCATAGAATTATTTGGAATTATATTACTGTTATGCTTTGTGCAATAAAATCTTTGCATATAAATTGTATTTGTTATAAACTGCATCATTTTAAACACAAATTCAAACCTTCACCCCATTTCATTTTAATATCTTTTCATTATCCCATGCAACAGTTTACATAATAATGTGCATGTTTATGTGAATTTTTATATAATTTATTAACCCAGGTAACATGAAATTTACAAAGGATTTTATCCAAAATACATAAAATAATATACAAAAGGTGTTATATTATTGTTAAGCAATTACAGAACACTAACTTTATATGTACATACTTTTTTTTTAAAACAAGATATTAAGAAAATACAGAAAAAATATTTTCAAAAAGCAAATAGGTTGAAAATTAAACTAATAAAAACTACGAGCTGTGTTTAACCACAATGCCAATGATTTGCAAATTTCAGAGTGCCTACGGTTCAAAACCATTTACCTCCACATCAGAATTACTAAAAGTGAGCAGAAATTGGAAAAATTTGGCATAAGTGATTTACTTGATGCTCAATAGAGGGAGCCACAGGCTCGAGAAAGTTTAGGGATAGAGATGAAAATATAAAAACTTAAGTATCATAATTTTTTTTTTTATATATAAGTTTTTAGGTTTTTGGCGTGTCTTGCCCTTTTAGATGGCGGATAGATGCCGAACTCTCGGCCAATCACGGCTCTCGGTCCTCTTCTGTGAGCTGCGAATAGCAGGATCGTATGCTGGAATCTGCTGAAGTGCTCGGTATCAATCTGTTCAATTTTGAGGAATAAATTTCGACTAAGCTTTTTAATATGGTAATCTACAGGTTTAATATTTAGGTCCGAATGAATCACATCTGTACGGACGTACCAGGCTGCATTCAGGGCCATACGTAAGGTCTTACTTTGAAAAGATTGAAGTTTTTTGACATGAGTTTTTGCAGTAGTACCCCAGATTGTACATGCATACATGAAGACAGGTCTTATAATTGATGTATAGAGAAGAATTTTGTTTTTAATTGACAGATGGCTCCTTCGAGCTAAGAGAGGGTAAAGTTGGGCTCTAGCACCTTTTGCTTTATTGAGAACATTTTCAATGTGAAGGTGCCAGAATAATTTTGAATCAAGTACAACTCCTAGGTACTTGTAAGAATTTGACCAGGGAACATAATCGTCGAAAAACTTTAAATTAATGGAAGGGTACGGGAGGGGGCTACGTTTGAATATCATAGCAGCACATTTAGCAACATTAATTTTGATTTTCCAAGTGATGAGCCAGTGCTCAAGGCTGGAGAGATATCTCTGAATGGTGTGTACCAGGTTTTCAAGGCGTTTGTGTTGGGCTAGGATGGCCGTATCATCTGCATAAAGTGCAAGAGTGATACTTGGTGATTTTGGTATGTCATTTATGAAAATGTTGAACAAAATTGGGCCTAAAAGTGACCCTTGGGGGGACGCCGCTTAGTATTGGACGGGGAGCCGAAATGAAAGAATTAACTCGTACAGAAAAAGATCTATTAGTGAGGTACGAATTAATTATATGAATTAAATGGGCCGAAACGTCAAGTCGTATGAGCTTGATAATGATTCTTATATGCCAAGTCCTATCAAATGCTTTGGCTATATCAAGAAATAAAGCGCCAGTAAGCATATTGTTACAAAACCCTTCGTGAATGAACTCCACTGTCCTCAGCAGCTGGTGCGTGGTGCGGTGTTTTGCTCGAAATCCAAATTGTTCATCAATCAGAACGTTGTGATTTCGGGGAAAATCATTCAGGCGTTTAAGTAACACAAATTCGTATATCTTAGATAACGAAGATAGGAGGCTGATAGGTCTATAATTTTGAGGATTTGAAAGGCTTTGGCCTGGTTTTGGAATAGGCACAATGAGTGCTTGTTTCCAGCTTTGAGGAAAATAGCAATGCTGTATCATAAAATTTATAAGCATTACTAAGAAAAATAGATAACTGGTGGGTAAATTTTTAATCATACGATTAGAAATAGAGTCCATACCAGGGGCTTTTTTGGGTTTGAGCTTGGTAATGTATTCACTTACCTCGGTCATGGATGTGTATTGTATTTCTCTCGCAAAAGGCGAGGAGAGGAAACGTTCAACATCTTGTGGGAAAGAATTTGCGTTGTTCGCAAAAATTCCTTCATTATGTGGTGTAAATTGAGTTTGAAGAGAATCCGCAATTAATTCGGATTTCTCAGCGTCTGTGTGAGCCACCGCTGCGTCTGTAGCTAAGAACCAAAGAATCTCTAGGGGCTTCTTTGCTAAGAACGGAATGTGAGATTTGTGTTTGCGTAGGCGGGCTGATGCGCGCCAAAGACTGTTATCATTGGTCGTTAGGGACTGAATGTAATTCGTGTATTGTGATTGGAAGAACTGGTCACATGATGCCTTGATCTCATTTTGGAGAGTACGGAGTTGAATTTTTAAGCCAGGATTTCTATTTCTTTGCCAAAGTCTCCGTACTTTATTCTTTTCTTTAATTTTGAGTTTAATTTCTTGAGGTATTTTACGAAAATTGGGTCTGAGGGTGGGTTTTGATACTTCCTTATAAGTATCAGTTAGGGTGTTCGTTAATTGATCTACTGCCTTGTCTATATCATGGCTGGATTTAATTTCGAGGGAGGGTAAGCTTTTAGAATTTAGTTTAAAACGAAAATTGTCCCAATTTGTTGAGACGAGTGCCGGAAAATTTTGAGTAAAAATAGTACAGCTAAGGTCGATGATTACGGGGTTGTGATCTGATGATAAACAATTTTCAACAGTCACTTGGTATCCAAAAGGGATGTTTCTAAAGAGTGCCAAGTCAATAAAAGAGGGGGCACCCCGTGAACCATATCTAGTGGTGGAATCCGGCGCTATGATTTTAATTTGGGCGCACTGAGCCCATTTTAGGAGGCCACGACCAGCAGGGTTTGATCTATGACAACGCCAATGCTGATGGTGACAATTTAAATCACCAGCTATGATAAGATTATTTGAAAAATTGAGCAGTTTATTAAAATCTACCACAGGAAAATTTCCACCTGGTGGGAGATAGGCAGAGATCATAACTAGGGATGGCGAATTTTGAATAAAATTTCGATAATTGTTGCTTCAAGTTTGCTCATATTTGGTGTGTCAATTCTGCGATGTGGGATTGAATTTTTTATGTAAATACAAGTGCCACCATGATAAACATCACGTGTATTTGAAGCTTGTCTGTCATTTTTTATATAGTGCATAATTTACAAGCTTGGGAGCTCTCTCCCTGGCTGGAGTTTGGTCTCTTGGACAAAAATGATATCAAAATCCTTCTCTTCTACATAGTCTCTAAACTCATGAATTTATTTGGAAAGAATGCCATTTGCATTCCAGGTGCATAGTTTAAGATTTTTCAGTTGCTTCAACCCTTTCAAAGTATTGAATTTTAATGAATGTGGGAATCAGAGAATTGGAGAGTAACATATACACAGATCAAAGATGTAGTAAGGCCGCGTCAGATGTAGAAACCAGATGGAGCCACTCTGAGCTGCGGTAAGGCGTTTTTGAATGCCAAAAGTAATTTGCTCTGGTCAATACCAGGCTGATTAGAAATTTGGATTATAGCCAAAAGAATTTCGGTACAATTTAGTGTCGAATTAGCTCCTAAGGGGACCGATAAATTTGGAATAATTTGTGGTGCTGCCTGTTGCATACCCGTAAGGGCAGCAGAGTATGAAACTCCAGGGCGAGTATTATTTGCACTGGGAGTGTGTGCAGCCGGCAGTGTTGGGAATGTATTTTGTTGTAAATTAATTTTGTTTGTGTTGTCAACGGTCTGACTGGGCTTGGTACTTGGTTTAGGTGGCTGACGATTCTTCGATCCTGGAAATCTCGGGCAGGATCTCCAGTTGGCTGCATGGCTCCCGGAACAGTTGGCACATTTATTTGGTTCTTCGAAGGGCTTGGTGCAGTCTTTCGCCTGATGCGGACCAGCGCATCTTACACATCGTTGGGGTAGAGTACATACCTCCGAAGAATGAAAGAATCCCTGGCAACGCCAGCATTGAGAGGGACCTTTCTGGCCTTTGAAATGTTCCATCACCACTTCTGTTCCAAGGAGTTCGGTGACCGAGTAGATTTCTGAAGCTTTTAGACTATTGTGAATTTGCAGATAGAATAGAGGCATAGGCATTTTAGTCTTGAATTTTTTAAGTTGAGAGATCTTGTGGATTTTATAACCAAGTACTTCGACCGCAGTCTGCACAACGTTGATGGGTGTGTTGGAGGGTAATCCCCTAATGACCACTTTGAGTGGTCTGTCCGATTTTAGTGTGTGTGATTTAAATTGTATGTTGTTTTCAGTGAGAAATCTAACGAACTGTCCTATAATCTGATTTCATTAGTGGTGTGTGAGGCGTAGAAATTCATATGTCTTGTTTGGATTGGACAGTCGGTGCGTGTCTGCGTAACTGATTTAGTAAAAAGAACCAATCAGCACGCGGTTTAATGAATATGGGTGGTGGTGTTTGAATTTTAGGTGTTGTATTTTCAGCCGGCTGCTGCGTTAAGTTTTCTGTGGTTTTCTGAAACGTTTTGTAATGTTTGTGTAAGAATTTGTGATTGTAATGTTGTTAGTATTATCGTTAGTGTTGGGTAGTTTCTTTGCAATCAAGTGTTTAGGGGGGGGGACTGCAAAGCCGTCACTGTCGACAGGTCTGGTTCTCTTTTTTGGTGTCAGGCTTAGAATTTTCTTTGGGTGGGTCTGAGGATGAGGGTGAGTTAGATTTAGGATTTTTGGTTTCAGGGTCAGATGCTATTGTGGTTTTTTTGAAATTCTCTAATGAATTCTTCCTCTGTTGCAGGTAGGGTGAAAAGATTAATGTTGAGTCTGGTGCAAAGTGTGTGTAAAGAAAATAAAATTTTCTCACCCTCATCCTGAAGTTGCTTCATCATCAATTCTTTGTTGGGAGTTTCTGATCGCTGAAGACGTTGTAATATCAAACAGTAGATCGTGTGCCTGGTCTTCAGAGCGTAAATCTGTAGAGCGCTTTTAGAGAGTTCGAGAGCAGAAGGAGAGGCTGGAGGAGTTGAGTGCGTGTCCATGTCCGTTTGAACTTGTAGTGGTTGAGAAGTTGAGAGATTGCCTGCTGGCGGCGCCGTATTCAAGGTTTCCATTTTTCCATTGCGGAGCTCAGAGCTCGCACGTCTGTCGCTCTTGGCGTCCATGACGCGAATCCAATGTTTAACCACAGAAGTCAAGGCATTGCTTGACTTACGAAAAAGTTTGTAGAGCTAGGCCATACATGACCTAGGAATATATATCCAACTTGCAGAGATATTCGTACAGTATGGGAAAATATGAGGATTGTATTCAGGATCGTCAATTAATCTTATTTTCTCTTTTAGCAAGTGTTGTGAAGGAAAAAGTTAAAATTTTAAGAATGTATCTCAGACTCTGCTATTTAACATCAAATTAGAAGTCATGTTTACAAATTTAAAAAGCCAGTTTTAATAAGACATGTTAACTATGAGAATTAAGTGCATAAAATGGTCGCATGCTATTTTAAGATTATTAATAAAAATATTTTCTCAACAGCAAAAATACTTTTATTTTAATGACATGAAAAATTTGATATTATATGGCAAGATTTATTCGTATTCAAATTACAAATGAAATGAAGATTTAGTACATCTGAAATACTTCCAAGTACACCAGCAACATATTTTAATATTCACAAAAAATCTAAAATGATTTAAATCTTAAATATTTAAAATATCATGAAGAGTTATAACTTCTGGAATTTACAGAACATGTTTACAGCAAAAGTTTAACGAACATTTTCTTGGTTAAGCACAGTTACATGCCATTAAGTACTTCAGAGAATTCATAAAATTCTCACACATCTTAAATAAAAAATTAAGCATAAGCAAGCTTAGAAATTCCTTCAGCTGTTAAAAGTGTTTTTTATACATAACATTTCTCACAAGTTTATTAGAAAAATTATTTTGTTTGATACTGCATCCCTATTGTACAGAAAGGTCTGCTACTGCAGAAATAAAGAATACATATAAAAGTCTTGAAAATGCTGTTATTTTTTTCATGAAATTTAATATGCAATACTGTCCAAAAAACAAGGCAACAGCTGCAAATACCTTTTCCCTCTATGTTCTTAATTGAGCTAACTGCTTTTCCAATTCTTCATCTGTGGGGAATTTTATTTTGCTGCTTTCACCTAGTTCACCTCTATGAGCAGAAGGAGCTTCAGCCATCTAAACAAAATTAAAATATTGATTTGATTTTATTGTTGATACAATAACCAATAAAAATTATATATCCTATTTTGTATTAGCATTTCCAGCTAACTGAAATAACAAGAACCTGGATCATAATAGAAATTATATCATTGCTATCCTGTAAGACATACTGTCTACACTGCTACCAGCTGAGTCTCAGTTCTGAAAATGGTAAGGTCTTAGTCAAGACCGCAGCAAACCATTAAGAGCTTACATATAATTCATTTCGTGCCATGCCAGGAAATTTATAAAATATTTTAATTTATCAAATTTTGTGTAAATATATATTACTTAATTACTTTTATTTTGAAATTTTTTTTCTTTTGCAATTCATCCAGCACATGGCTTTGTTGATAGTTTTTTTCAGCTACTCCTTGATATGGAGTTATCAACCTTATTTATTATTTGTTGTTAATAATTATTTTTTTTTATTTCTCTATTTGATTTTATTTCACTTTTGCTTTTTCAGCATCAGCGATGCTTATTAGTTTTGTAAGTCACTTTTTGTCTGTATGACTTTAGTGTCTGATTCGTTTTTCAAACTTGCTATCATGCTCAATTTATTTTAAAAAATGAATGATGAATCAGCAAGTGTGTTTTTTGAATTGAGATACAACAACAGCACCTAGAGTCGCTTAGTTTTTCATACATGTAGTCTCCTATCTGAACATGGGCATCTTGAAGACCAAATTTTGAATTTGCTTTTTTATTTCATATGTTGTACAAATTTAATGAATTTTTGATTAACAAACTGGGTGACTTAAGAGCTAGAAGTGCCAACACTGTTCGAAATAAAACATTTTTATTCTCAGCATGTTACTGTTGCCATTTGGCAAAACATAAGATATTTATTTTTCTATTTTATCATGTATTTGAAAGCAATGTGTTGCCACTGCCTTGAATAGATATACTTATTATCACCCCACTTTAGTGTGTTGCCATTAAGATATAAGATATTTAACTTTCAAATTTAATCTTTTCATTACTGAGTAGCACACCAAGTGATTGAAAAGCAATAAACAGTCAATTCTTAAAATATTTATTTTTTGATTGTTTACGTTTTCTCTTAAGTGGTTAAGCAGCTAGTTTTCAAAGAAATAATATAGCAAATGTGAAAAAATAAGTGACAACCGGTTACACTCTATTAGGAATTCTAAAGATATGCTGTTTCTAAACATTTTGTGATTTTGCTCTTGAATTTTATGTGCTGTAACTGCAAAGAACATCATATTTGGTAAACGATGTTCAACATGCAAGAAAAACTTTTTTAAGTCATCTTACTAAGAAAACTGAGCATTGATATGATGAACTGAGAGAAGACAAACAAATGAAAAATGTATGCCAACACTTAATGCTATATTAGGAATTGTAAACATATGCTGCTTTTAAAACATTCGTGATTTTCCTGTTGAATTTTATGTTCAAATAAAATGATGTTACAAACAAAAAAGTGTTAGCAGGAGTGAGTCCAAAGGCAGATTGGCAACCAACGATGCTCAGTGAGAGCATAAAAAATTAAAAAATCGTATTTAATCCTCTGGTGCAATGTTAAAAATCAGAATTCTTTCAGATTCTTCCTTTATTTTTGCTTCAAATTGTTTTTAATTTGTGCCTTCCTGTTAGACAGCTTACCACTGTTGGTTGATATTAAATTCTATATATTTTACCTCTCTTTATATATATATATATATATATATTTGAGATAGTATTTAAAGAACTTGGCAGTCGAGGCAGTTTTAATTCATTTTATTTCCAATTGATATTTGTGGCCACAATCACTGGCACTCTAGTCGTGCCTTTCCACTGAAGATTTACATTTTTGATATTGTTGGATAGAAAGCAAGCCAGCGAAATTACATCTTAGACAGTAGAGAGCGAAGCTGAGTGGGCGTAGTTATGAAAGATGAGCACGCGAAGAGAAAAGTTTTGTTTACAAGGACAGTTTCTGTTCCCAATTATTACGTCATCAGAGCTGTGCCGATCATAGGGATCTAGAAATACGCAATGCAGAGAAGTTATTACGATTTTAGAATAGAGAGGAAGAATTAATGTTTATAGTTTAAACTATAATTTTGATTCATATATTTTTTATCTTACATATATTTCAGATTTTCTCACCAAAGTTGAAATGAAAACTATAGAATTCGCAGCACATTAAATAATTTAGTTCCTGAGCTAGATTCACACGAATGGAATAATTTTTGAGCTGTTGAAAAGGCGGAAGTGCGTAGTTATGAAAGATGGAGGCACGCGAAGAGAAAAGTTTTGGTTTACAAGGACAGTTTCTGTTCCCAATGATTACGTCATCAGAGCTGCGCCGATCATAGGGTGATCTAGAAATGACGCAATGCAGAGAAGTTATTACGATTTTAGAATAGAGAGGAAGAATTAATGTTTATAGTTTAAACTATAATTTTGATTCATATATTTTTTATCTTACATATAGTCGACAAGCCGGTAAGGATAGTTTCCTGCAGCCTGAAATCTCAATGGAAATTTATTCAGCTCTTCAATCAATCGTGTGGTGATTCAAGATATGTGAAAGAAGTAATCATCAAATTTGTTTTTTTTTTTTCAGTGGTTAAAAAATAACAGATCATTCTTCTGCTGTTGTGTTTGCAAGTGCTTCAAAAATAATCTCGTGTAGTGTGTATAGATTGAAGTATCTCTCGATAAATTGAGAAGTTGAATGCCTAGTGAAAAGGAATCATCAGTGAATTACCGTTTAGGAAATTAGCATTACAGCGGTTCAAGGTTGATTGAGTTTGTGTTTGCAAGTAATGTGCGACAGAAAATTTTTGCACTTCCGCTTTTGAGAAAATCGAATTCTTGTTCATTAATTTTTTCTAATTTTCATAAAATGTGTGGGCAAATTAAGTAACGAGTTTTAGCTATTTAAATTAAATTCATAGGGAGGATATTAATAAGTTTTTTTTTTTGAAATTTTGTTGAGAATTTGATACGAATTTATAATTATCTAAAATAAAGATGTTAAAAATAAGTGAAATATTACAGATATGTAATATGAATTATGGTAAATGCATGTTAAAATTTATGGGTTATGTGTGTTAAGTGTAGTATGATGAGGGTGTACTGGTTCCTTCAACAGAGCCTGTAATTACCTCTGTACAGTTGTTCTTACCTCTTCATGCAAGATAATGTTGGAGGCTCTCATTTATGAATGCATGTAAATTTTTTATATTATTATTATTTTATTATGGAATGTATTAGTGCAGTTTCTCAAAGGCCATTACCTTAATGCAAGGAACGGAGGTCTTTTTAAGTACTGTCTAGCACCCTGGCCACTAGTGCAGAGAAAACACTGTTAGCTCAAGAGCACAGCCCTATTGATGGATATTTTGTAAGAAGCATTGCGAGCTTCCAGTTTGGTAAAATCAGGAATTGTAAATGAAAAATGATAACGGTGAACCATAATTTCTGAAGCTTACTCCTTTATTATATGGTATTAAAATATATTTATCAATATGAAAATTAATATCATAAATATTTATGTGCATTACATTAATTATAGTAATGATTATGTAAAAGTTTATTTGTGATATTCTTAATAACAAACCTCCCTGAAGAATTATGAGTTATGTTATTCCCAACAAAAAGACTTTTGGACTGAAATGCTGAAAAATACAATAGGACTCTAAAAATTAAAAATTTATTAAAAAAAATTGATATTTATAAATTATACTTTTATAGAATCAAAATTTTATGATTTATTTATTTATATTTTTTTTACATTTGCTAGTGCTTTAACTCATTTCTTTAAAAAAGGCTTCTCTTCGCTACGCCTTTTTCTTTTTGGGGGGGAATATGTAAGCTAAAAAATATATGAATCAAAATTATAGTTTAAACTATAAACTTAATCTTCCTCTATTCTAAAATCGTATAACTCTCTGCATTGCGTCATTTTTAGATCACCCTATGATCGCGCAGCTCTGATGACGTAATCATTGGGAACAAAACTGTCCTTGTAACCAAACTTTTCTTCGCGTGCATCCATCTTGCATAACTACGCACTTCAACTTTGCTCTCTACTCTGCTGAGATGTAATGTCGCTGGCTTGCTTTCTATCTCCACAAGATCAAAAATGAAAATCTTCAGTGAAAAGGCACGACCAGAGTGCCAAGAGACCACAAATATCAATTGGAAATAAAAATGGAACTAAAATCGCGTCGACTGCCAAGTTTTATTTATGAAGTCAACACATAGCTTACGACGCAATCAGATTACTTCTCTTCAATATGGGATAACTACGCATCAACAGTGTTCCAACTTTTCCGTGCTTTTATTGACATATAATATATATATATTATCTCTCTGATATATATATATATTATCTCTCTCTTGATATATATATATATATTTGTATTTTAGGACTAATAGCTCATCGCTATTTATTTTCTTTTTGATTTTAATTTTAGACTAGATTAAAAAGTTTGATTTTGATTTACATATTTAACACTTAATGTGTCTTCTAGCGGACGCGTCGGGAAATTGGAACAAGAAATTGAGACTATTAAAATTTCTAAGACACTTGTCAAAAATTTTTTAGCGTAAAAGTTTCAATTGTCTGTTTCGGCGAAACGCGTAATGGGGTTGCTTGATTGAACGTTCAAAAATGAAATTTCCCTTGAAAAGCCTGTTGGATATCGAATTGGGCTAATTTACCCATTTTCCGCTTACTTTAACTTTTTCTGTTATTTAATTTTATTGTATTTAGTTTTACATGTCTAATGATTTGCTTTTCATGTGTATGATTTTTGAAAACGTCTTTAACCTTTTGGAGCGGCAGCTCTTGGTAACTTTTAGGCGAGCTTCTACATTTTATTTTTTACTTTTTTGCAGCATATTGCGCAAGATGTTTTCTTGACCAAAATTGTTATTACTGCTTTGCTTGATAAATTATATATAAATGTAACACCCTATTTAAGGTAATTGAACTATTGTATTACGCCAGAACT